AATTACCAGATATGTTATATGTTTGTCACAGTGTCTGTCTGTCATCAGTCAGTGTCATTGTCAAGCACTTTGTTTTATAGCCTCTATGATAATATTTTATGAAAACCACTTGGTGCGCACGTGCATTCACTTCTGAATCACAGAGTTAGCAGACAAAGTCTTCTGACTTTCCCTAGCTTTTCATAATGTAATTGCTCTGGTCCTTATTTGTCCAGCTCCCAGCAACTTAGCTACAGCCAAATAACTCTGCCTTCCTCATCTCCCACCTCACTCATGGTTTGTTCTAAACACCTTACAGGGTCTATGCAGTACAATTTTGTTATGCAGTCATTGGAAATAAACCTCAATCTTTTTGGATTTTCTGCTGATGCAAATTTCTGTATTCATGAGCAAAACTGTGATTTGATTTGGGGCAGAAACCTCAACATTAGAGCTATTTCAGCACAAAAGTTCCAGGAAATTTAAATATTTTCTGTCGAAAAGCTTATTTTCTTTGATGATTCACTGTCATGTAAGTAAATGACAGTAAGCCAATGAGCCACCCTTTCTCACTAATGTTTTCAGTAAGAACAGTTTGCACAGACAAACAAAATCTTCCCAGCGTGACACCACAGTACTCTCAGTTGTCTGAAAAAAATGGGAAATTTTAAATGTTTCAGAAGTGCACTTTTCACTACAGTAAAACATAAATTACTGTCCAGTAGTTTTTCCTACATTTAAGAGTAGGAAGGTGCATCAAATGGGTATCTAAGATACACTAATTGCTGGCCACTTGAACCTAGCATGTGTTTGTGTTACGGCCAAGTATCTTTTAATGCATGAGAACTGAATATCTGCTTGCCTATCTTTAAAAGTTGGTGGACAGTGATGGACAGCCTGTGTTGATGTGAATCAGACCAGGACCTCAAGTGCAGAAAACCTTCAAAACAAAAATCAGACCAAATTTCACCAAGATTTTAATAAAGCAAAGGCAAAGACCTGAGCTTTTCACCGACCATGTTTGAAGTCTTAAGTTATTTTTTAAAGGAGACATCTCTTCAACATTTTGAACCTGAACGTTATTTCAGTGTAAAATCCTAAAATAGTAGTTCTATGAGAGAATGTGCAGCAATAGAGACTAGAGGTACAGTTGTTTCTTTTGGAACATTCAATTAATGCATTACTTAAAAGTGTTGTTGGATGCAATGCTACTGCTTACTTTACTGGGCAAGTTGGTTTTCTTATATTGTAGTTTTCACTAACATCTGTTTTGTTATATAATACAGCATTTAAGAGCACCTCTGAGGAAAACATGTTTTCTCTGATTTTATCTGTTCAAATAAATATGGAAGAATCCAAATCAAACACACTGTCATTTTCTCTTCGGAGCTCAACTTTAACAAGCTTAAAAGGGCTTTTTTGGTTCATGCCAAGATGCAAATTCAGAAGGTAGATTTCATCATTCGGAGAAAACAGAAAACGAGGGAAACCCTCTCCCTGTTGTTGTAGTGGGTGCTTCCATATAAAGAATAAGAAAAAGAATAAGTGTCAACTATTTCAAAAATCTAGGTTTCACGGCACCCAAAACGTGGCCAACTGGAAACTTCAAATTCCACAAGCAAAAATTAATGTGATGGTTCAAAAATAAACTACCAAAGTTTCTCATTTCATGCTGGTAGATCTTGAGGTTTTTAGAATTGGCGTGGAGTATTTAAAAAACTCAATTGTTTGCTTGCAGAAATTTGTGGGAAAAATTTTTACAACTTTCACGGCGCCTCAAAAGTGGACAAGTGAAATCTTCACATTCATTTTAGTCAACATTTATGTGGTGCTCCAAAAGTGGACATCCCAATTTTCTCGTTTTCTACTAGTACATGTGGATTTATATGTGTTTGAAGTCAGGAAATCTGTTTTCAAATGACTCAATTTTTCTGCCAGTGGAAATTTGGATTCTACCTTGATGACTCTCGCGGTGCCCTAAAACTGGCCAACTAGAAACTTAAAATGAACATTGCGTCCCTACGAAGTTGCGAAGCAGCTCAATTGATAGTTCTGTGATATTAGCTGTCAGTCGTACAACTACTGGTCAGCGGATTCAAGAGGCCTGTCCAATCTGCATGCTTTTGAACACTTTTTTCTTGAACCCACTAAAAGATTCACAAAAAATGAAGATCGCTGTGCCTAACTTGTCATACATGCGTTCAGGAACATGTACTTCCAGCCCGAAGCCCAGGCACTGATTCATACATGTAGGAAGCTAGAGATCCATAGATAGTGCAGAGGCTTAGCAAAAGTACCGTTCACTTTGTCATAAAAGCACCAAATTTGACAGACATGTACAAGTAGCTTTTAGTATTCTTTCAAAATTAGTTACTGAGGCATTCACATTTTTACCCCATTGGGGCGTGGCAGCCATTTTTCAAAGTGGCCGCCATTTGCTCCCATGCTGTATGTGTCTGTCAGCCATACTAGTCTCGCCTGGAAGCAGTAAGATTGAACATTTTACATTCAAAACGATCACCAAGAATTAAGTGGAGGTTGGAAAAAATTGTTCTCATGATTTTACCCATGTTGGGTGTGGTAGCCATTTTTTTCAAAATGGCCGCCATTTTGGATTTGCTCTTATGCTGTATGTGTCTCTCAGCCAAACAAATCTAGCCTAGAGGCAGTAAGCCTAAACATTTTGCATGCAAGAATTAAGTGGTTGTTTAAAAAATAGTATTCATGATTTTACATATGCTGGGTGTGGTAGCCATTTTTTTCAAAATGTCCACCATTTCGCATCCCGGCTTATAGGGGTGCGTTCCAACAAATGGTTGTATTTCTGCACGCGAGCTCATTAATATTTTGTGATCCCACGGGTATAAGACATGCCATAATCAGGAGGCATCATAGAAATATTTCTATAAATCCCAAAACTGGGACTGACAGTTTCCAGTTCGGGGTATTTCTTTCACAAAAATCCCCAAATCATGCAAATTGTGGGCCTATTCTGGATAGAGGCAGGCGATTACATTCAGAAATGAGCGCTTAGTTTTACTGCTGTTTTGGGAGTATCTTCCTTGATAGGCGAATAAAAATAGATTTCGTGGCTAACCCCCATGAAATTAACCCCTATAGCCTAGGCTACATCATCAGTACAGTAGGCTACATGTACATGATTACATTGTAATAATTTAGGTAGAACAATCTCAAAAAGGAGTGCAGGCTCATCAATTATTTTTTCTTAATTAATTTCACACCAACAGATAAGACAAGTGTAGTCCACTTAAATTACTTATTAAAGGCAGTACCACACTGATCACCTTGGTTATTTTGATTGTGAATATAGTTTTAAAAGCGAAGGCAGGTAGAGGATTGAAATAATTGCAAATAAGGCTGTACCGTAGGGACCTAATTCAGGAGTGGATGAAGAAATTTTCCAGGTTGAAGCCAGGTCTAGATTAGATTTTTTTTAATGTCACAAGGGACACAGATAATGCACACTGTAATTGGAAATGACAACTCATCTAGTTTGCACCTCTTTCATGCAATGTAGGCCTAGGCCCCCTTACTGTTTTTGGTCAATTCTTTTTATTATTATTTTTTTTAATGGTGTTGGGGAGTGGAGTTTCCCCGGGGGGAAATATGGCCCATTTATTTTCTAGAACCCATCATTATCAAATTTGAAAATGAAAAATAAAAATTTTATCGCTGAACCAACCCTACATGTAAATCCTGCTCATGTCTTTCAATTGTTAATTTCATGTCCTCTCTTTGTACATGTATATCTCTGTATCGTAGGAGTGAGAAACACTTCTCATTTTTCTCTTAGGTATTGCATTCCCAAAGGCTAAACAAAACACCACTGTCTGCATGGATAGACATAAAAGCAGAGGGTGATGATGAATAAAACATTTATTTCAATGGTGTCATTCACTCTCTGCATGGATAGACATAAAAGCAGAGGGTGATGATGAATAAAACATTTATTTCAATGGTGTCATTCTTTACATTAAGCAAACATGATTCACATTACTTAAGTACTGAGTACAT